AATTATGCTTTCCCGAGACCAGTGAGACCCTAAGCTCCGCCTAGAGCATATTCGATATTCATAATGTACAGATTTACTAACTCATAGCTGGGAAACATAAATGATCCTTAAAGACAAAGGGATTCAACTAACTTTTGGACGGAGGCATGTACATTTTATTCATAACAGCTCGATGATTATTTAAATAAATAGAATGACGAGGCTGCACATGAAGGTGTCACTTAACATTAATTTCTGAAATGTCTCAATTATATTTCAAAAATGAATATACCAACGTTTGTGATTTCATCTAATAGAATGTTTTGAATGAACCAAACCACCTGATGGCACAAAACATCACAGAATGGACGATAACTTCAGTTTCAGACGAACTTAAGTTCACTCATGTTCAAAAAGAAGATAGCCTTGAAAACTAAAACGCTTTTTATTTAACATCTCATCCATATACAATACCGTTCAGAAGTTTAGGTGGGCAAGATTTTAAAAGTCTCTTACCAAGGCTGCATTTATATGATTAAAATATAGTAAACACCGTAATATTGTGAAATATACAATTTATACAAATAACTCTTCTCGGTTTTAATATATTGTAAAACGTCGTTTATTCCTGTGATGGCAAAGCTAACATTTCTGTGGTCTTCGGTGTCACACGATCCTTCGGAAATTAGAATATGCTGCTTTGGTGCTAAAAAATAATTTCATGGCAAATTTTGAAGACTTAACATGAAAAACACGGATTTGAAAGACATTTTTGTAACGCGAGTTCCAGTAATGCCTTCAATGTAATGTGCTAAATAAAAGCATTAACTTATTTAAAAACACCTAAAGTTTAGTGTACATATGGTGACTTTCATATGTACTGTGTAACAAAAATGACCCGTTCAGCTGAATTGAAAGTGACCACAACACAGTTTACTGAAAATACTTTTGATTTAATTTTTAGAATGTGATTTCTTTGAAATAATGTATTGTTCTTCCCCTCAATAGCATGTGACACCTCAGCATGGTGGTGTAACGAATAAAGTGCTTGTGATGAGAACTGCCACACAACCATTATAGTCAGAATTCAGTGCAGTACAATCACCAGATCACACCTTGGAATCAACACGGCTCTGGAGAACCCACTGGCTTTAGGCACAGAGAACTGCCCATCATCTCCAAGAGAGAAACTTTATGGCACTGCACTTCCAAATGGATACAAATACAGGAAGTGCAATAACTCCTCCAAATAAGTCTGATTCTTCACAGG